CCCCCGCCCCCCCCAAGCACCTGGGGACCACACCGTCCCTTAGCGCCCTTGAGGTGGCCTAGGTACCTGGAGCGGGAAGGAAAGGTACCAAGTATGGTGGCCACGGTCGTCCATCCGGAGCGACCTTGCGGCCTCTTAGTCTCCGAGGTCCCGGAACGCCGGCCCCGGGCGCACAGGGGTGGGCGTGGGGTGGGCCCGTGCTCCCTAGCGCCTGGAAACGGTTCTTGGGAGGGATTTCTGAGTTCCTGGAATCCTGCGGATGTGTTTGCTCGAGAGCGTGAGAGAGAAAGAGGCGAACTTGCGACTAACTTCGGGTCAGTGTGTTCGCAGAAGGCAATCATCAGTTCGCCCGTGTGTTGGTCTGTCTCTCCCGTTCATTCGCACAAAGTGAAGCCATGCAGCCTCCCAGGTCAAGACCCAGGGGACCGGACCGTGAGGCCTGGCGGGGTGAGGCCCTTGATGTGCGCCTCCGTGTTCTGATCCTAAGCTCAAGCTGCCCAGATGCCCACTGAGTGTCAAGCGAGAGAAGCTACGTGGGAAAGAGGGCCACCCCACCCCCCAGCCCCACCAATGCGGGATCCTTGTACCTACAGCCCTGGCCTGTCACTGCCCATCCATCTGGGGATCCCGGTAGGCAGCGGGAGAGGGAGGGGATGGTGAAGTTGGGTAGGTACAGGATGGAGGTAGAGAGGAAAGGGGGGGGGTAAGAAACAAGACTGGGTGAGGATGTGGGTGGGGATGGAGTTGGGGCAGCTTCGGAGAGCACCAGCTTTTGGCTAGCTTTGGGGAGGTAGGTCGGGCTGTGCCGTCACCCCCCCCCTACACACACACACACACACACACACACACACACACACACACACACACAGGAAAATAAAGCTAATGATGTGGTAATTTAGGAGGGGGTGAGGGGCTGGGCGACCGGAGGGAGGGCAGATGGGGAACGCGTGCCCCAAGAGCGAAGACAAACAGCTGTGGAGACTCTCCCCGAGGCTCAGCCTTCCCACAGCGAGACGGGGACCCACCCGGCATCTCGTAGGAAAGCGGGGAGGGTGGGGGAAGGCTGAGCGGAGAGGGAGAAAGCCTCACCAGAGGACAGAGGGAGGGAGGAAGGCATCGGAGCGAGAGCGCACGCCGCGCGGTTTAAAAGGAGACACACTTCCTAATGAATATTTATCCGCCGTTGCTCCTGGCTCCTGGTTTCCCTTACCTTGCCGCAGGTAAGCTCTTGCCCGCGCCCCAGCCCTGGGGGTCCTCCTAGCTCCCCCAGTCATTCTCCGGGCACCGGACGCGCGGCGGAAGGGTTCTGGGCAGCAGGAGGGCGGCTCCACTCGGGTTCGGCGTGCGACCCCGCACGGCCTCGGACCGCGTGCTTGGGCTACTTGGTGGCTGTGAGTGCGTGTGCAAGCGTGTGTGTGACAAAGAGGGTGTGCGCCCGGGCTCTGAGGACATTTCCCGACTTTTCTCTCGGACGCCCGGGATTTCTTGCCTCTGCTTTTCTCTGCTTCCCCCTCCTCCCTCCTCCTGCTCCTCCACCTCCCCCATCCTCTCCCCACCCCCAGCTGCCGCGGCGCTCTGCTGCGGGCTATTGTACAGCCGGTGAGGGCTCCCCGGGCGGGATCCCCGGTCTCTCCTAAAAGAGGGTGTCTATTGGGTTTGGAGCCCGAGGACACCCAGGTTGAGGGCGCCTCTCAACCCCCCGCCCCCCAACTTCCTCCTCCCGCCTTGACCCCGCGGGAGGAGCACCGGGAATTCAGGCGGCCAGAGGGAACTGGGAGGGGAACGGTTAGGGGCCGGGGAGGGGCTGAGGGTATGACCAGAATTCTCAAATGGACTTACCCGGCCACCTGTTGAGACTCCCTTTGGGGTCGGCAGGCTCCGGAGCTGCTTGAACTGGAGACAAAACCAAAAGACAAAGTTGGAAAAAGAAAAGTCTTTCTCGGGCCTGGCCCGACACGGCCGGGCCAGCTCGCACGCCGCTCTGCACTAGCGTCAGGCAGCTGTAGAGCCCAGAGCAACCTGGCCAGGTCCCTGGCCACCCGTGTCCCCTCCACATCCCGCGGCTCCGCAGCTCCAGGCCCGG